AGATGTGCTTAAGCTCCCACTGGGTGTGCAGGTCGTGTGCATGGTTGTTCAGTCATGTTCCTCTTTCTAGCACGTTTTTGTTGTTGGTTTAAATCCTGGTCAAGCGTTTGTTTTGGACCAGGAGGTGTGGTGGCACGCCTAGGTTCGGGTTCGGCTATGCCAGCCACCTGCGCCTTCTCCCGCTTCCGGTCTTCTTGACTATGTCTCGACATCGTGCCCAGGTAGGGGAGGGGGAGGAGAGAGCGGGGTAGATGCTGCGTAAGTCTACTATTACTATAGAAGAAATCACGCGCATGTCACCGTCTCTGATCTCAACTTGCTGTGGTGCACACGGTGCACATCGTCGGATGCAACAACCGAACTGTCATCATTGGCCTATGTTGTGGAGACGCTTTAGCAAATCTCGTCATCCTGCATGTGGATATGGCCGAAAAGACCCATACAGGACAGAACTGGTAGGTGACGCGGTTGTGACGGATGAATGTGTGGGCTGCAGGCACTGGTTCGTCGGTCTCAGTACAATGGAATCGCAGGTGACCGACCAGGCCAATGCGCAGTAAAAGTGTGCGGATGCGTTGCCAGGGCAACAGCCCTGCATATCCTGAGTTATTTGTTGAGAAGAACGCCGCGACGGTTCCACATGGAATACTGTGACCATTTGAAAATCTAGCTGGCTTTGGAGATCCGACTTGCTATTTTGTCATCAGTCTTGTTATTTCGTCAGATTTTTCTCCCAGGTTGTAAAGTGTATTTCACTGATTTGTATGCGCCATTCGTTGCATTCAGCATTTGGCGTCAGTTAATGCAAAACCCTTATCTTTTTCATGAGGCCGAAGTTGGAGCATTTGAAGTGATCCCTGTTCCGCTGCAAGTCCTCCATAGTTTTTTTGTTTTTCGCGCAGTCGTCCGCCGACAAAAGGTCGTGGACTCTGGCCTTTGAGACTCTCGAAAATGTTTACATGCGTCGGATCTTAAAAAGTCGTCCGTGGGATTGGTAGTAAATATCCAATCCTGGTTGCTTTTCACGAAAGGTGTCCATCATAATAACAGTAAAAATGAGACCGAATAGGGCGGGAACGAGCACGCAGTCCTGTTTCATCCAATTTGTCACCAAAGTGCCTCCGAGATTCGGCACCGTCCCGTCATTTGTATGCATCACTCCGTTTCAGCAATGATTTTTCAGAGTCCACTGCGATTCACCCTATCGAAGGCCTCCGTCAGATCCATGAACGCGGTGCAGAGGCGGATCCATATTCCCTGCCATTTCTCTTTATTGTTTCATTCGTCACTCGTCGTTAGGGGCTTCTTCGAACTCCACGTAGTATCGATGTGTAGACGATGTTCGTGCTGATGCACGTGCTTACAACCGGAATGATCCATGCGGTACCCGGACGTATGAGGATATTGTGAAAAAAGCGTTGGCGATCTTTCAGTGGTCGTTCACGTGTACGCGTATACGGTCGAAGAGGCCGACATGGTGGGTATTCATAGGGACCACAGACACGGCTAATCCAATTGCATTGCAACGGACTCGCTGGCGGCCAACAGGTCAATGTGAATTTGGACGCCCAATCTAGATATTGCCATGATGTCGTCATAGTTTCATTGTTGGTGATGGCTGTCTTTTGTGTTCTGGCGACGTTATCGTTGCGGTGAGTTAGACATGCTTAATCAGGTTGAACTTGGAGTTGAATGTAGTGTTCACTCAGGAATGGTCGCACACCGATCCACTGAGTTCCCGAAGCAACCTACCTTCTTATGGGGGAGTTTAATCACATTTGGGTCAAGTTACCCGTCCAACCTACAGCAACGTCTGGAATCCACCAAATCTGATACAGTAAGTTGACTGCCCAGGCAGGATTTCCTAAGTAATTCGCCTAGAATTAACCAGATGGCTGTACTAAAGCCTTCCCCTTACTGCGTGGGTTTGAATCCCACCGAGGCGCCGAGTTTTTCACGGTTGGGTCAATATGAATTATTCAAAATCTTCCAGAACATCAATGAATCTCACAATCGGAAACTTTTTTAAACCGAATTGAACCCATCGTTTGAGTATAAAATTGGAAGACGACGTAGTATTCTACTGAATGAGCAAAAGAATGAATCTTTTGATGCACGTTTTCCATGAAATATAATAGAATTTTTAAGGGAATCGAAAATCAACAAGAAAAATGTATGCTACATAAGTAGTTATTTTTGCAGATTATCATTTTGGATGCAGCCGGAAAGAAGTTCCTTCGAAAGTCGCACATTGAGGTAAATGAATTATTATAGGATTATGCTGCACGATGATTAGTTTTACAACCCTACTTGGTAATCTTTTCAAAACGAAAACGAATTTTAGAATTTCGATTGACATTTCATGAGTTAGCCCACCTACTGTAATAATAGATGGGCGCCTACTGATCGGGTTGTGGGACGATCTCGTTCAGTTGTGCCTTGGGGCTCAAACTAGAACCCTCGCAGGCAGTCGCATTGTGACTAGTAGTAGAGGTAAATGAGAAAGCACAGACAAAGACAAGGGAGACCGGAATGACCATTTCTGGCTTATTAGTCGTCATCAGCCAGTTGTACCCAACCCAAAGTGTGGACCACTTAAGATTGTTTTACCGCTCATAACCGACGGAACAACGGGCTCATTGCTTAATTGTAGCGTGTTAAACTCCATGACCAAAGATCCCAGGTCCGAATCTCAAGTGGTCCACACTTGGGGTTGGGTATGACTGGCTGACGACTACCAAGCCGGAAATGGTCATTCCGGTCTCCCTTGACTTTGTTGGTACTATCTCATTTACCCCTACAACTAGTCGCTGCGCGACTGCCTGCGAGCGTTCTAGTATGCACCCCAAGACAGGACAGAACGAGCACTTTCCACAACCCGGTCGGTAGCCGCTATCTACCACAAATAATATATTTATATAAGATAGAAGCGAAGATGCGCGTCCCCGGACATAAATGAGAAGAAGAGACGATCTCGGGAACCATAGTTCTATTGTCCTGACGTTTCAAAAGTAAACAAGTTTTCATCGTCGGAGGTGAGTGTTGTACCACGCCTCACAGTATTTATGGGTGGTGATGGCCTCCTTTCAACGGGTTTACCTCTCGTCGGGGGCCAGAGTTCGGGCACTAGCCGTCATCGCACGTGTTCGCACGGATCTTAGTTCTCGACGTAGGCTTCTCATTCTTCTTTACGACCCCGTGACGGCCTGTGTTCTCACCTGCCGCATAAGTGGCAGTGAAGCTGGCACCTTCGTCGGGTCCGTTTATGTTATTGCGACCGTCCGTTTTCTCACCTGCCGGATAAGTGGGTGTCGCGGCTGTGGTGACGATCGCACCTTCGCCAGATCCAAGTTGAAGTGCAGCTGCGGTTGTGTCCCCCATGGACCCCGCCGTAATTTGGTTCCTGTCTCCTCACAACCCGCGTTTGCTCCTCTATTCTCTGTGCTGCATCCGGAGGGCCTGGTAAGCTTTGAGAAGCTCTACTCAGCAGTTGATGGAGTTCGTGCCGGTGTGCCTGGCCTCAGTTGTTTCCCTGGACACGCGATCAGTTCCTCGGCCCAGGAATTCGGCATTCTGGAGGGTGAATGTGTGTCCAGAGTTTACGCAGTGTTCTGCCACTAGGGACAACGGGTCTATCCTCCTTACGGCTCTCATGTGTTCTTCAACACGGGTCTAGAGTCATTTACCGGTCTCTCCGATATAATTCCTTTCGCAAGTGCTGCATTGGATCCGATAACTCACATTTGTTATTTCACCGGGTGGCAGGGGGTCTTAGGTCTCATGACCAGATGTCGAATTGTTGACTCTGGCCGATGGGCAATGCCAATCCCCAGTGGCCTTAGGAGACGGGAGACCGCCTCAGAGATGCCTTCAATGTAAGGAAGCGCTCGCCAGACTTTTGGCCGTTCTGTCACTGGGCTTCGGCTTGGCCCAGGCTGTCTGCTGCGTTCTATAAAATTTCGAGGATATCCGTTCGCCATGAACAGGCGCTGAAGGTAGCGTAGTTCCGACCTTTTGTCGTCTGGCTCGCTGCAGTGTTTATCTGCCCCTTTGTATAGTGTGCGTATACAACTGCGTTTGTGGGACAACGGGTGCTTGCTGTGGTAGCTCAGGATTTGGCGCGTATTGGCGGCCTTCCTATACACTGTTGTTTTTAGGTGCCCATTTGTTTTCCGATGAACCAGTGCGCCTAGGAACGGTAGTTCGTTGTTGCTTTCGGCCTCCATTGTGAACTGGATATCAGGCGAAACCGAATTCAGGACATTGTGAAATGTTTAAACCATTTCCCGCTTGATGATGACAAAGGTATCATCGACATATCGGGTCCAAAATTTTAATCTGTAGGTCTCGAAAACCTCAGTTTCTACCTATTGGAGAACTGCTTCTGCGATGAAGCCTGAAAGCGGTGATCCCATCGGCGTCCCCTTGGTCTGTTCGTACATCCTCCCTTCGAAGGTAAGGAACGTCTTCAGGCAGAAGTTCAACGGTTGAATGAGATGAATCCGTTTCACACTCTCGTCTGTCTCGTGGTATTTGCATTCGAGCAGTTCACTAACCATTTTGACTGCTAGGCATTGTGGGATCGAAGTGAAGAGAGCGGTGACATCGAATGACACCATGACCTTGTCTTCGCTGAGTCGGATGCCTTTGAGCCGTTCTAGGAGCTGAGCCGCTGAACAGACGGTCGTGGCTTCGTTCTAGGTGAGAGACCTCAGTTTGCGGAATAGTCATTTTGCCAGATTATATGTAGGTGTACCGCGCAATGAAACGATTGGCCGGAGAGGGAGACCGGGTTTGCGTACCTTCGGTAGGCCATAGAAACGTGCTGGGGCCGCATCTGTCGGCTTAATGGTCAACCGTACCGATTTACTTATTGCTTTGTTTGATTGCATGTCGGCGAGCGTCTTCTCCAGTTGCCTCACTAACGCCTTTATCGATTTTATCGCACGTTTCTCCACCCAGCCTCACTTATCTTCTATCGCACAAACATTCATGGCAGCAAAGAATTCCTTAGACTTCAATGTGAGCCTACGGCAAATGTGACAGTAACTAGACAACGAGAAAGCCCATAACATGTCGTTGATATATGACGAAAGCGAATATCTATTGTTACCTAAAGTAAGAAGACTGCAGCCCACGGGGAAAATGTCATAAATGTTTTCCTAACCAATGTACAACGTGGCATATATGCAAGTTTGAAAGTAGAAAAGGATAAAAAGTGTCCTAAATCACTGGAAAAAATATGATCTTACTGGATACCCCACCTTAAATCCAGAATGTCTCTTTAAAATAAACGTTTTTGACCACCCCTAAGTATCGGGTTTATGGACTTCCGTTTAATGCATCTAAGTTGGTGTGAGAGGGACAGTGATTGTGTGCAAAACCGTCCTGGAGATTTGTCCGGCAATCTCATCGGCCGGAGCGGATCAAGACTGCCTCCCCACACTTTGAATATGCCCTTCTGCAAAGCTATTTTTTCACATCAAGAAATTCTATTGGTTAGTCAATTTTGACGAGGTCAAGGAAGAGAAACTGCACAAAATACTTTGGTCGGGCACGACAATGGGCACCACCCAGGGCTCCCATGTGAGTTCACATCTCCTTGTCCTAACTCGAATTCCAGCCCTTGCACTAACACTTGCCCTAACCCTAACACCAAACCTAACGTTAACTCCCCCTGAAACTAAAACCAAAGCCACTTGTAATGCCGGAGGGTCCATTTCTCCGTTCCTAGCCAATATGTTTTTTTATCAATGAAAGATAATGCACTTTCTAACTTGGTCACAGTTCGAAATGGCGCGGAAAACTCTGGAGAATCTGTAGAAGAACCTCAAAAAATCGGTGCGGCACGTGACTGGATAGTGGCCTATGTTTACTAACGTCAGTCGATACGCTAGTTGAAAACATTCCTGTGTTAACCATCTGGGGTAGTGTGGTTCGGTCAGATATTTACGCAAAAACACAGAAGGCAGTTTCAAATGCGCATCCCGAGAGGTTTCTCTAGACTTACTCAACAGGACTTGGTGGAGCTCAGAGCTCAGTAGGAGAAAACCCAACGGAGACGAAAATGAAAATTCCATGCAGTTGTTGCTCAAAGAGGCTAGAAACCGATTAAGCAGCATGACCACAAAAAAGAGATGCGTTAGAAAGTTATAAGCAATCTGTGGCGGGCAATGGGTGGAGGAAAATTAATGCCCCGGGGCTCTGCCTTTCGACGGTATATCGACATAGCGATCAGTCACATCTTGTCAGGGTTCCATGCTCCAGTCCTTCTATAACCCGTCTCTGACTGAATTTACAGGCACCACCACTACTATTGCTACTAATACTGCTACTACTACTACTACTACTACTACTACTACTACTACTACTACTACTACTACTACTACTACTACTACTACTACTACTACTACTACTACTACTACTACTACTACTACTACTATTACTACTATTACTATTACTACTACTACTGCTGCTGCTGCTACTACTACTACTACTACTACTACTACTACTATTACTATTACTACTACTACTACTACTACTACTACTACTACTACTACTACTACTACTACTACTACTACTACTTTGACAACAACGACTACAACGGTACTACTTGTACTAGCCTTACAGCTACATCGGTCAGCGTTGTTATTGTTGTTTCCTCAACCACTGGCTTTTTGGTCAATGGGAGTAATTTGCACTAGGTACAACACACGTTCTCCGGAGCTGTGAAACACTGCCATAGTCTGATGTTTAGTTTTTTGCATCTTAATTCATGTTAGCCTCATATGATCCCGTGCACCCACAAGGACGCCCTCAAGGACACTTCCGAGAGCTGACAAACGAGTTTTGGGGCTCCTTGTTGTCCAGTTACTCCTCTCACCGACGTCCCTAGGGCTGTCGAAACCTGCAGACGGAATAGCGAACAAGCCTCACGAAGAAAACAATCTCCTTGCGGTCTGAGGGAGACAGGTTTGGTTGTGCAGGCAGACTGAGATGCGTTGGTTGCCTCCTTCGCAGATACGAAGACCGTGGTGGGAGTGGTCGTGTCCTCTGTTCAGGCAAACGATCACTGCGCGTGGAGCGAGAGGAGTGCTCACACCACTGCACACGCGCGTTCACGTACACCCACAGGCACGCACGCACGCACGCACGCACGCACGCACGCCAAAAGCAAAACACGCGCGTTCAGGAAAAAGGAAGGATGGAGGTCGCGTGAAAAGGCAGCATACAGTGAATCACTAGGAGGAGGGAAGTGAGGCAAAACTGGAAGCCCATTTCAACAAATAAAGTCCTGGGAAGGATTAATCAGTTTCACAAGTATACCGATCATTCCGTAGCACAGTCGTTAACAAAATATTTCGCCGCTGTCCAACCAGTTACAATTAAGGGCTGTATAATTCCGAATTAATAGATGGGAAGTTTAAAATATAGCCAATCTGCCAGTAATTACTAGGAGTAGGGGAAGGAGGGAAGTGAAGGCCAGATGAGAAAATAGTTATCGAGACTGTCTTGGGAGAGTGGACCGTAATTCTTCCATTTCCTCTCACTCGCGGACATCTAGGGCGTCGAATTGATTAACGACATCTGAAATTTCTCTCTTTTTAGATCCGCAGCTCACTGAACACGTCCTTACTTCTTCATTAAAATTGAAACCCTTTCACCAACCGCTCAATAAGGCTATGTTTAAATTTTTATTTTTCTCTCGTGCTGAATCACAGTGTTCAGATATTTTATGGAGTTGTCGCCACAGTAAAAATACGTATATTGCCAACCTTATGTGGCCAATCGGAGTCACTATCAGGAGAGGTTAATTCTTGAATAACGAATATAAGCAATTCAGTTCATAATTGCATTTATAGAAAATTATTTTGGGAAAACAGCTTGTAATTACGAACTGAAATTCCACTAAAAAGTATATCATCTAGCTAGAAAGACCTGTTCATCCATTCGAACCGTTACAAAGTTTGGAAGGACTGACCACTAAAGGCAAAGTTTTTGCATCATCCAAATGAACTGCATCCCATATGCTGAGTTTGTTTCCAACCTCATTCAGCCAATCAAACGGGGTCTAGTCTAGTAATCTGAGTGCTGATTTGCTTCCTCAGACTCAGGCGGCTGTGAATGAGAATGGCCACATTGTCGGCAGTATTCGTCAATCTGACCTAGTTCCAGTTTAAATCGATCAACACGATTGCATTATCTTAGCCAGGCGCCGGGTCTTAGCTCTGAGAGAGACGCGGATCGTAAATAATTGCACTGATGACGGTAGGGAGGGGTGACTGCGTCAATTACTGCTGGCCCAATTTAATGACTGATTTGTCGGAATACGGTTAGATCCCCCACCTAACTATAACGGCTCCGGGTGCATATACTATGATTGAAAAGTTCGAGGCACTAAGCAGAATCCTCTGACCTGAACAAACAAGTGGGCAGACGCGGGAAGAGGTATCTCTTGTATTGCAGGTTGCCTTGCGCTGAATTTCTAGGGTAACTACTCCCGTGTCCTATCAAAAAAACAAAAGAAGACGCTAAGACATTACGGTTGCTGTGTTGGTAACATCTTCACAATCGTCACTGCAAAAACTAATCTAGTTGCCTTTTAAGATGCCGTAAAGCAT